CTTTATGCAATGCATTAAGAGAAAAAAAAGAAAAAAAGCATTCAAGTTGTCCCTTAAGGTTATTTTTTTTATTTAAATTGGATATTCTATCCCTATCCCCTGTTATTTTTTTATTTAAATTGGATATTCTATCCAACATGGATATAGCTTCTTTCTTTCACAGCAGCATTGGATCAGTTCAGTTGTGCAGCATTGGATCAAAACAAAATAAAGCTTATCAGTACTCGTTAGCTTACTGCTACAATTAGACACTGCGCCCACTCTGTTGCCAGATTTGAGAGAAATAAGCAACCAGGTCTATGAGAACAAGCCCCAAAGAAGCAACACATACATGATGTTCTGTAATTTGAAACCAAAACTAAGGCCTCAGGATGACTTTAAGACTTGAACATGGTCATTTTTGTTTTGTAACATTGAATAAAAAAATAAATAAAAAAATGTTAAAAAAAAAAAAATCCCGATCCCCGATTTTTTTCTCCCGATTCCGATCTGTTGAAAATCACGTGATCGGCTCCGATCCCCGATCACGTAATCGGATCGGGACATCTCTAGAAATAGACAACATAGGCTGTTGTTGACTGTTGCTGTGTCTAAGATAAGAAGTACTTAATTGATCCTAATTTGGGAAATGTCTAAGCATAAAAACAATGCATGGTACAATAGAGAAATGAAAAGACTAGAAAGTCAATAGAAATAGAAACGTACACCATAGACTCTTGTTTTGTCCAAACCCTGTGAAGTAAAAGGAGCCTGTGTCTGTTTCTGATGTGCTGGCCCCGCAGGTGGCTCCCGAGGTGTGGGTTTCATCCGCTTTGATAAGAGGATAGAGGCTGAGGAGGCCATCAAGGGTCTGAACGGACAGAAGCCCTCCGGCGCCGCAGAGCCCATCACCGTCAAGTTCGCCAACAACCCCAGCCAGAAGACCAGCCAAGCCCTCCTGTCACAACTCTACCAGTCCCCCAACCGCCGATACCCCGGACCCCTGCACCACCAGGCCCAGAGGTTCAGGTGAGTGCTGGGGAAAGAGATGTTCATGGACGAGGGAGAGAGACGAGAGAGAGAGGGTGGGAAAGGGTCTCGAGTTATATTGGGTATGGTTTTAAAATGTGTATCCCCACCGTTTGAGCTCAGCCAGTGTAAGGGTTTCTCAAGTTCATCCGGTGACCCCACCTAAATTCGTGATTGATAACCAATGTTAGAAGTTTCAAATGCGTCAGATAGTTGAGACTTATTTTGGGTTCCCATTCATTTTCTCCATTAAACATTTAAAGTGACTCACTGCAGGAGCTCTTTTAACACTTGGATCGACATCTCATCGAGTCTGTTTCAAGATTAGTAGGAGTTGATCTGCATTCGAATATATTGGATTCCTAATATAAATAAATAAAATAGTCAAATCTACAAGCAGTCAAAAACGTTAGAAGTCAAGCTAGACACCCAATGTGTATTTTGGCCTTATTTTCCAGAGCTTAAGATTGTGTGTTAAAATAATAATGGCCAGTAAGGGTATCTCGACAACCTAGTTTAAAAAAGGAAAGGAGCTTGCTTTTCCACAGTACTGTAGGTAACATGCGTAGGTAATACATTGTGTTCTGGATGCAGTAAACTCACTAAGGAAACATCCAGGGCACACACCCATTTTTTTCCTTCGTAATTCTAAATTGTGAACAATAAATCGATGTTGAAATTGTCAGGAGTTAAAAGAGGTTCAATAGAGTTTCATTAAAGTGCATTCATGCTACATTTAGTCAAATTAACTATTGAGCAAAGATGAATTATGTTGTAATTGTAATCGAGTAAAATGTTGGCTTTGTGGAGAAACTTCAACACTATTTATCAACAATATAATATGTATATTATAGAGGGAATTAGTTATTAGAGAGGGAACAGTAAGAAATTAAAGAAGTCAATTTGGAAGTTATGTGTTAGTTTTTGGTGTTAACCATGGATTTGTGACATATCACTGGAATTGGTATCGTGACACTCTTAACACTAGAACCGCCAACGGGTACATTTTACCTGCAGCTGTTTTTTTATTGTATCTAACTTTTTTTCCATAACATATTAAAGTCTCCCAGTCTGTGACTTTTCCTGAAAGTGTGTTATGTAGCACCCTCTGTTGTTAAAAATTGTCAATAGGAAGTCAGATTGAAAAAATCGCCAAATAAATTGCCATTTATACCCATATCCGCAAGCGGGTAATATTTACCTCATAGAAAATGCAGCGTAAACATGACGTGTTGCTCAACGCCTTTTTGTCTACTGCGGTTCCTTATAGATAGAGAGAGATAGAGAGAGAGAGAGATAGAGAGATATATTGATAGATAGATAGATAGAGAAAGAGAGAGATAGATGTATAGTTATAGATAGTGTAACATCTTGGAGAATACAAGATCTTGGGTGACTGAGCTCACGTTGAGGACGTAATGCATGTGTGCAGGTTACGTGCCAGTTGAATAAAGATGGACACTCGGAATGAGAGAAGTAGTCCGCGTCGTCTGTTTATGTAGACAATTATATGTCCATAGAATAGATCATTACAGATGGATCGATAGATAGTTATAGATAGATAAAGAGAGATTGAGATATTTGTATCTAAACAAAACAGAAGTCTAACACCAAGCGTTTAAATCAGCACTTGTAGCGATATTTTATACTTCATGCTATCTGCACAAACTATATCATATGAAAAGCTGAGAGTCCACAGATTCTATTGGTATACGTTTCATCCCTGTGCCTAGCCAGTCTCCAGATCTCAACCCCATAGAAAATCTTTGGAGGGAATTGAAAGTCCGTGTTGCCCAGCGACAACCCCAAAACATCACTGCTCTAGAGGAGATCTGCATGGAGAAATGGGCCAAAATACCAGCAACAGTGTGTGAAAACCTTGTGAAGACTTACAGAAAACGTTTGACCTCTGTCATTGCCAACAAAGGGTATATAACAAAATATTGAGATGAACTTTTGTTATTGACCAAATACTTAATTTCCACCATAATTTGCAAATAAAGTCTTTAAAAATCAGACAACGTGATTTTTTTTTTTTCTCATTTTGTCTCTCATAGTTGAGGTATACCTAGGATGCAAATTACAGGCCTCTCATCTTTTTAAGTGGGAGAACTTGCACAATTGGTGGCTGACTAAATACTTTTTTTCCCCACTGTATATACACATAGCTTATGGATGTCACAATACCAGAAATAACATTATAATTTACGTTTGCACAANTACCTATTGCAGATTCAGTCTTCCCAGCCTGGTGCAGGTCTACAATTTTGTTTCTGGTGTCCTTTGACAGCTCTTTGGTCTTGGCCATAGTGGAGTTTGGAGTGTGACTGTTTGAGGTTGTGGACAGGTGTCTTTTATACTGATAACGAGTTCAAACAGGTGCCATTAATACAGTTAACAAGTGGAGGACAGAGGAGGCTCTTAAAGAAGAAGTTACAGGTCTGTGAGAGCCAGAAATCTTGTTTGTTTGTAGGTGACCAAATACTTATTTTCCACCATAATTTGCAAATGAATTCTTTAAAAATCAGACAACGTGATTTTTTTTTTTTCTCATTTTGTCTCTCATAGTTGAGGTATACCTAGGATGAAAATTACAGGCCTCTCATCTTTTTAAGTGGGAGAACTTGCACATTTGGTGGCTGACTAAATACTTTTTTGCCCCACTGTACATGATGAAAATGTGGCTTTTCTGGGAAACACTCCCATTTGAAATGCGTGACTTGAAGATAGCGGTAAAAATGTAGTAAAGGAAGCTGATATTGAGTTTGTAGCTGAAGGAAGGAGGCCCTTGTATTATCCATTTAACGATCTCCAATACAGCACAGTGTGCTTCCCCTTCACACTGTCCATCAGTTTGAACTAGTGATTGTATTCTTCAGGGGTGATACTGAGACAATCCAAAGAAGGTATTTTATTGTATTCAAGATCTTCAGGGAGTTTCTGAGAATGGAGTTATGATCAATTGTTATTTTAGGAAGGATGTGTTTGGGAAAATAGCAGTTCTGAAGGGTTCTGGAAACTGATGGATTTGTTTTTGTAACAAAAGTGGAGACAGAAAAGAAGGCTGCTGTCAGATCATATGTTTTTGTATTTATTCTCACTACATTTAGCACCAACAACTGTGCCACAGTGGCCACTGGTGCATCCACTGCCTGTATGTTGTCACACAGTCATTTGCTGATAGATAGTAAAAATGGAAATGACATAAATGTACCATAATGCAGCTTTTAAAACAAGGAACATTTATGCCATATTATGAAATGACGATATCCAAGGTCTATTACGATTTCAAGCAATCTGATGTCACAATATGGAAATAAGATTGTTATATTGCCCAGCCCTAGTTCATTGTTGACGTTTTATTAAAGTATTGCTCCAATAGCTTGCTTTTAACATGGCCTTCAAGTAAAAAAACTGCTCCAGGCAACAAAAATAAAAGGAACAGTTTTTTTATACAATGAAATATGGAAAGGAAACTCCTCATTTCACAGATGTCAGCCTCCTAATCTCCACAGGTTTGGTTTGTGTTTTTTTAATATCCCCTCTTGCTGACTTTCTTTCAACCAACATTTCCTCCCACTGCTCCATGATGACATTTCCAAGGCTGTCCTTTTAACATACATCTCTCAACCTTTACCTTGCTTCAGCCTCTGGTCCTGCCACCCCTGACTCGGCGGAAAATGTAACCCAACACCTGTCCCCGGAGTCGAGCCGGAAAGCCTGGAGGACGTGGGACGGCAGCATGGGGACACAGCACATGCCTCAATCCCCGAACGTGTTTTCAGAGCACTCCGCAGGAAGCAACATGTCTCCGGGAGGCGTGGGACACCTCAAGTCCCCGGCACCCGGACGCACCAGGAGCGTGTCAGATTCCTCCGCTCCCAGGAGAGGTGAATCAAAAACTCTTTCAGGTGAAACTTAGATAGAGGGTTTCATAGGTGACACATCTTTGTAGGCCAATCCGGGAGTTAGCATCTCCCTGGTAAAATGCTAACTAATTATTGGGTTTTAGGACAGGATTTCTTTAATCGTGTGCGCCTGTTTTCCACAAGGTTCATTGCTGCAAAATAACTCAAATTAGGTTATAAATGAACTACATCACAGTTGAATGACTTCACATATAGCTAAAGGTGGCTTATTTACCGGCGTGATGAGGTTTTTAAGTCTTATTTACTCACTTGTTAGCAACCAAATGTATAACACATCAAATCTCCTTACTCCTAATCTTTGTTCATTCTCTTCTAGACTCTGTGACAAAAACCTCCACCCCTTCCTTCAGTAAAAATGGCAAGACAGCAGGTCCGCAAGGTGCGCCGTGGGAGACACTGGTGGTGTTCGCCATCAACTTGAAACAGCTCACCGTCCAAATGAACATGAGCAACGTCATGGGAAACAACACGTGAGTGGTCATCATTTCTCTTCCTTTTACTGTATAGTCACGACATTGTGTGGAAATATCTTTGTTATTAGTTTAGAGTTATAGATAGATGGAACGATCTGTCGTTGTCTCCCTGGGCAAGGGATTGCTCAACAGTATTGAGGATATGTAAAAGCTTTGGGCACATGTAATGTGATGTATAATAATATGATGCCGCAGCCAATAGATGGCTTGCTTAGCTCAGCATGAACGCTTGAAAACAAACATAAATGATATAAGGTGTTACTTAGTGAGTGACTGAATGTGAATCCTGCTATTTGTATCCGGTGGAACACAGATCACATTATATGAAACGGTGTCAAAATTACACCTTTAGTGTAAGAGAATGAATGGTCAATATAAAACTGGAAACTCAGAAAGGTGTTAGCTAAGCTGGACACTCTCAGCATCATGTGTAGGTGTAATCAGCTGCTACATGAACTCTGGGGTAGAGTCTCCTTGCTGCATATTACACTTTTATCTCCTGCTGCACTGATAGTCCAGGCCTTAAGGTCCTTTACCGCCCACACTTATGGGCTCTATTCATCTCTTATACACCGAGGTGTTTCACGGTCACTAGGATATGCAGCCGTTGCAGCTTTCATTGCTACAGTTAGGGCCGAATTGCAGAAAAATCCCGCTGATTCATTGAGGGAAAACAACACATTCATAACCAGAGCTGTTCTGTTTTATAAGCTCTCTGTCATTGTAAAGGTAAAATATATCTTCCTCTCTGGAAAGGTCTGGGCTCACATAAGTCTCCTGCCTCTTCCTCACAAAGTGGAGGTACTCTCACGCTCTGTGGTTTAAATTATTTAGCACTTCACAACATTCTTTCGCCATGAGAATACTCCGGAATAGGTGTATTCTTTGTTTAAAACAAGAAGACAAAAATCAAGTGAATGTCCTGATAAAGACATATGTATGTGACACGTTGAAATAACAGTGTACTTTAAAAATTATTTTTAAATGTTGGAATTTGGTCTAATTGTCTCCACAACAAAAAAAAACATGGATGGTTCCATTTTCTAAGTTATTTGCAAGAAATTATAACAATCACAACTTTCATTGAATGATCATGTTTTATCTAAATGTATGGCATCTGTTGTCAACAGTTGACATTATTTGCTGCCATTAAAACAATTTGACATGGTTGTAAACAGACATCCTGACCTTGAAATAAACCATTCCATCAATAATCATCAAGATGTCTTGAAGAACACCGTCAGGGTTAGCAGGATCCAGACTTGAAGCCTATTACACGGCTACTATCTAAATGAACCAACATTCTGACTCACAACATTGATTCAGATTGTTTTTACTGATTTAAAATGGGTCGGAACTGCGGCGACAGCAACTTAACTTTAAATGACGGCAGCACTGATCGAGGTTTTCTCTAACTGTCCAAGTCTGTTCACATTTTATTTTCCACTAACTAGTCTTTAAACACTATACCGTGTTCCCATTAGTGTTTACTTCCTGTCCGTGTTCTTCTGTTTATTTATTTTATTTATCTGACATCCAGCACTCTGTCTTGTAATCCCTTCCCTTATCTTGCGCTGTTTGTCTTTTTTTTCACTGGGTGCAGTTGTTTGTTGTCCACAACTGACGTTAAATTGACCGGACTTCTTTCTGTGGATTGATATGACTGCACATTGTCCCATGATCGTCCTTATCAATAGTCTGTTCTCCTTAGCAGTAGTCTGTTCGCGAAAATAACAGACCCCTTGAATGTCCAAAATGACCAATGAGAATGAAAGATTAAGTAATTAGCTTTAAAGGTCTCCTATCATGTAAAAGGCATTTTTTAGTGTCCTTTATACATAAATATGTTGATATGACGTAATATCGGAAATGTGGACCCATGGCACTATCAGAAACGTTGCTATCAGAAACAATGCTCGACTGTTTTGGATGTAATATGGTCTTTGTTTACATTAGCAAGCATTGCTAACACTCAGAGCTAACCTGTACTGGAGAGCACATGTGTTTTAAAAAGCCGGAAATACAAAAAAGAACTAACCTTGTGGTAAACCCGTAAAATAAAAAAACATTTGAGCTCCATACTGTTTTAGAAATAATCCTTGATGTGGTTTGGAACATGATATGGCATTTAATCACGGCAGCATTTAGCTGTATCTCATAGAATTCTGAGCAGGCATTAGCTCACCATCCTCTTTTTTTTTTCAAGCTAAGGACCCCGAATCAGCGTTTCTCTAACAGGGCTGAAAGAGAGGGATATGAGGGATTTCTAAAATGCATGATCTGTTTGGTATTTTGAGCAAAACACGTCATGGACATGTTTTTTATTTATTTGTATATATCTGAGACCCATAATATATGCCTAAAAATAGCATGATAGGAGACCTTTATTAATAAAAGTAAATTATTTCTACCAAAACCAACTATTGCAAATACAAAGTATTCATTCCTATTTCATTCATTTGTATTGTTTTTCTTTTATATTAAACAAAAACACCCTTCCTCTCTTACCATTGATTTCAAAGTCTGTATCGTAGTTAGTGGACACTACACAGCCTTGCCTACGTTATGTAACAGACTCCCTACTGTTTAATTATCCTTTACAAACTCCTCTACAGCTCCACACAAAAACCTTAAGGGATATTACTGTTTGCAAGCATGCCCTAAAATGATGCCTTTTAAATATAAGACTTGCTGACAGTTTAAAAGAGGGCTCAAAACATAATGTTTTAATATAGCTTGGTATTAACTGGTTTCAAGCTTCAAATCCCAATGCCATTTAGTCTTCAGGGTATTATAGTAATAAAAAAAAAATTACAGCGTCACAGCAGGTTATTTTCCTACACTGGTCCACTACTGACTTAAAGATTCAAAAGTAGGCTGTATTTTATAATACTACATTACATAAACAAGGGGTCCCTATTCTGCTTTTTGGGTTTTCCCTTTCCTGTAATGTTTTTTATACGTTTTTGTGCATGTAAATGGTCTTCAATGGCCCCCCCGCCTGAAACACCTCCATTGGACTCCTTTGTTTACTTCTGTAACATAGTGACATCACTATCTAACATTTGCGCTTCCATTGGCTAGTGCTCAAACACATTTCATAGGATATGCTAAGGAGCGGGACATCTCTTAGCGGTTGACCAATCACAACAGAGCCAGCCAGCTAACCAATCAGAGCAGACTGGGATCTGGTTTCAGACAGAGGGTGAAAAGAGGTGCTGCAGTGCAGGCAGTATGAGAAAAATAAAGAGCTTTTTGAACAATAAAGCATGGAGACATGTCCCAGTAGAGACACTGCATACTGACATACCTGAACATCAGCAGAATATAGTGCCTTTAATACCAGAAGAAGTCAATGAGCACAGGACTGAATAAAATAAGAATACATTCAATCATACGTTAAAGCAAAATTAAAAAGGTGGGTCTTCAGTTGGTTTCTAAAAGTATTAATGTAATAATGTTTTGATAATGGTAACACTCATTTCCTTCCTTATTGTCTGTAGTTTTAGTTTTTTCTGCTGAAGTGCTTTTTCCAGCACTCTATACATCGAAGGTTCTGTTTAACTCAATTAATTCATATCGGCATGTTTTTCTAAAAAGCTTACATATTGACTGTCAAGACTTGCTGATCTTTCCTTTTCCAGTTTCCTGTGTTTATTCCCGTGCAAGTTCTCGCAACTAGAGTCCTTCATGTTGAGTTCTCGTACATTATTAGCGAGTGCTCACCGTCTGTTTGCCCTGCAGCTGGACCACGAGCGGGCTAAAGAGTCAGGGCCGGCTGTCGGTGGGAAGCAACCGGGACCGAGAGATCAGCATGTCCGTGGGCCTCGGCCGCTCCAAGCTCGACTCCAAGGGCGGGGTGGTGGGCGGCAACATAGACGTGAACACCCTGGAGATGGTCTGTGAGTAAACAAAGCAACAACCCTGCACATATCCTGCTACTCTTGTTCTAGAAGACCGTATACTAGATATAAACCTGAGCTCCAAACAGGCTTGGGAGGGTTACTTAAAAAGTGTATTCTGTTACAATTACTAGTTACTTGTAACAACATGTCATCTAATCTAGTGATTATTGTGAGTAGCACAATATAAGAGTATTATAACCTGATTACTTTTCCTTTTGGAGTACCTCAATATCAAATGCAAATACAAGAGAAAATACATAATAAGATGTTTTTTAGTTAAGTGTATTATGTAGGACAGTGTTTCTCAAAGTGGTCCGGACATTGGTAAACTGACAGGACATAAATCCACGATTGATTTGAATTTAAGCTTATATTGGCGCCGATCATCAGTCTCAAATGACATCATATAATTGTTTGCCTAATCGACCACCTTAATTGGGTTCCTTGTAGATAACAAAAAAATGCTTGGTACTTTGAATCTTTTTATGTGATTTGTGAAAACCTCAGAATCTGTATTTACCACTCGTCAAATGACAGCGAATGTTTTCTCCCAAAAATGGGAGTGGCCATGACGTAGAAAGAACCCCGATAGGTTGTCCTCATGTTAGATCAGTCAATCTACCCTACAGTGTTAACCAATCACCCTCTGTTTTCCAGCCCACATCTCGGAACACCCCAACCAGCAGCCTAGCCATAAGATCCAGATCACCATGGGCTCTACAGAGGCGCGGGTGGACTACATGGGCTCCAGCATCCTGATGGGGGTCTTCAGTAACGCTGACCTGCAGCTGCAGGACGAGTGGAAGGTCAACCTGTGCACCGTGGACACCAGCCTGTCGGAGAAAAGGTGTGGGGACGTCTGCAGAAGCTCTTAATGCTACACAACGCCTCTGCTCCTCAAAATATATACTTTTTAGACCAGTTTAAACGTATTCTCCAGAAACAAAACAAAGACTTATGTATATCATCATACCAGTCTTACAGTGGTGGACTGTCCGGTTAAGGCCATTTCCTTGCAATTGCTTTTCTAGCAGCAAGATCTGACAAAAAACAATTTGTATGAATCAGAATGTTTGCATCTGATCATAATTATCCATGTAGCAAAGTATAACGGTGTTTGAGGTGTTTTAATGCAGTGCAGTGTGAGACTACATAGCAGGGCCGGGGGGACACGGGAAAATAAAATCCACAGGGAGGATAATGGCTACTACTGAATGAAATGGGACAGAGGGGATAATGTGATGCTTTTACAGGTAAAGATATAGAGTGGTGCAGAAATGATTCCTGAAACACGGAAAAGACTTGTGGCATTTTACCACTTCCTGTCCTTACATCTTGAAGTAAGGGTGTTTTGAACATCATTTTGGTTAGATGCCTGAAATACAATCTGTGGTTAAGACACGTATAGAATATTTTCACGTTTTGTTAGTAAATATCCCACTCATGTCTGATGGCTAGGCAGCGCTGACTGCTTATTGGCTGCCTGCTCTAACCTCTGAGCTATCCCGCGGTGCACCAGGCATTTTTAAAGCTGACAAAACGTGCCAGAAAAGAGGAAAATAATGTATAGGAGCCATGTCTCTGATTGAGATCTGTTTCTCTGAGTCGAAGGTATGAGGCGGCAGACACTTGTTAAGGATAGGGTGTTTTAATGTATTAATCTTTCTTCCCTCATTTCTGTCATGTATCTTCAAAAAAGGACATGTAGGGGAGCTACGCTCATTTATTTTTCAAGAAACAACTGTCATTACATCCCAAAATAAATGAGTTTCAGTGGAGCATGACGATGCTTCCAACAGTCACGGCTGCCATGAACAGTGGAAAGTCTGGCCGTGACCCCCCATATAAATGTGCTTCATTTACCTGTAACCCTCTAATATTTCACTGTCACTACGAGTGGCTATTAGCGCTGTCTGTGTGAATTGGACTGTATTTGTGTACTTTACACAAAGGCTAATTTGAATAGAAAGGGGAACAATCTGTGCCTGATATAAGCACATTACCCAATTTAAATACATGCAAATAATACAGGCGCACCGGGGCCCATTTATTTGCATGGCAGTGCATATAGGGCTGCATTCACTCTTTGCAGGTGCTTTGAGAGTTACTAATTAGGGCTATTTGTGAGAAATGCATTTCTGTCTTCCCAACTAGAAATCGTTAGCTCTCTAGAGACTAATAAGTGAAAACACAATATTCATATAATGATCCTCTTAATGATCTTTAATGCCCGCAAGCATGGCTCCTCGTAAGTAACAAACACCTTTTTTTAAAGTTACGAGACAGCAACCCTAAAACAAATACATTTCCTTAAACAACCCCTGGACCATTAACCAAAGGGAAAATCTGCAAAAAGGTTACCAAATAACCAACATTCTGAGAATGAAGGCAGAATTTTGACTTCAAAGTCTCAACCCAACAGACTATAATTCTGATTTTAATCTCAGAATTCTGAGAAAGTCTTAAAATGTTAAGTTTGATGACTTAGAAATGTTGTTAGATAACTTACTAAAGCTTATATTTCACTTGTATTGCATTAGGCATCTAGCGCTGGTCTTTTGGAACACAGACTGTGTTGCACAAAGGCTCTTTTGCACAAAAAGGGGGCCTATTTTTCCAAACATACTAATTACAAAAGCAAAGAGACACTATTTGACCATTTAACCTTTGTGTTTGCTTTTTAAATGAGAGATTTGGGCCACTTGTGAAAAATGCATTTGAAGCCAACACTTCACTGTGACTGCATTAGGCTATTAGATCTAGACACCCAGGTCTATATGAAAACACAACCCAACCCAACCCCACCAATACTATCCAAACCCTAAACACCTGCCTGGAAGACATCCGCTCCTGGATGACCACCAACCACCTCCAGCTCAACAGCAGCAAGACGGAGGCAATCCTGATAGGCACCACCGACCAGCTTGCCAAGCCCGCCAACATCAGCCCCTCCCTCGATGGTCAGCTCATTCCTCTATCCTCTGTTGTCACCAACCTCGGTGTAAGGTTTGACTCCACTCTGTATTTCCAAGCCCACATCAAACAAATCACAAAGACCTCCTTCTTTCACTTGAAAAACATTTCCCGACTGAAGCCCTCACTCTCAACCGATGACACCAAAAGACTGGTTCATGCACTCGTCTTCTCAAGACTAGATTACTGCAATGCACTCCTATCCGGTCTCCCAGCCAAATCCATCAACCGCCTGCAACTTGTCCAGAACAGCACAGCCAGAGTTCTCACCGGTTCAAAAAGGTCCGCACACATAACCCCCTTACTTGCACAACTACACTGGCTCCCAGTCCACTACAGGATCCAGTTTAAGGTTCTGCTCCTCACTTACAAAGCCCAAAATACCTCTGTGACCTCATCCGTACCCAGACATCTACCCGCTCTCTCCGCTCCAGCCACGCTCCTCTTCTTTACATCCCCCGCACACGTCTCCGAACGATGGGAGACCGAGCCTTCTGCTCATTCGCCCCGCGCCTCTGGATCTCAGCTGAGATCTGCCCCTTCAACGGAGGTCTTCAAAACCGGCCTTAAGACCCTCTTCTTTCGGCAGGCCTTCCAATAAACTTTTATCATGGTAGACCTGGAGTATTGCCATTTTTATCGCTATCTCTGACTTTTTTTTATTTATTTTTTTATAAACTTGTTATCTCTTAAATGTTATCACTGTCGTCTGTTGTGAAGCGCTTCGTGATTTGTCTTGGCAGATGAGAAGCGCTAAATACATTTAATTTATTAATATTATCTTTTTCAATTGGATTGTATTTGCAGAAAAGGCTCTTCTGCATAAAAAGGGGGAACATTTTCAAAATATATATGTATATTACCTCTTTTAAATCAGTGCAAACGGCACAGGAGCAGGCTGTTTGCGTGGCAGCCCTTCTAGGGGTGCATTTGCAGGGGCCCGACAGGCTCTTTCTGTCTCATTTGTACAGGTTAAGTAGCCGCAGAAGCGTAACTCTTTTGTTCGTTTTCCCTTTTTAGTGTTTCTGCACCTGTCTCGCTTTTGTCCTGTTTCTCAGTAAATCTAATACTACCTGACTTTATATTCACACCTGCATGAGGAGAACTTTAGAACAAGTTCCTCTTCCTTGAGCCATTCTTTAGATTTTTCTTAATTACTTGGCAAGCCAGTGTAGCGGAAGGTTTCTACAGATCTGTCGCAGCAGATGCAGCGGTGGTTAATCTAAACTATGACCATCTGCATTTTGCCTTTCTTTAATGTTTTCTAAAAATCTGAGCTGCCTTGATATTATTTCCCTTCCTGTTTTTCATGTTTTCCCCCCCCATCATCTCTTCTCCCTTCCAGTGAAATCTTCGTCCACGGAGACCTGCAGTGGGACATTTTCCAGGTGATCATTTCACGCTCCACCACACCCGACCTCATCAAGATCGGCATGAAGCTGCAGGAGTTTTTCACCCAGCAGTTCGACACCAGCAAGCGGGCCCTCTCCACCTGGGGCCCCGGCCCCTACCTGCCCCCCAAAACCCCCGTCATCAACACGGAGAAAGGGTCTGCAGAGCTCTGTAAGCATCCCTCTCTCTATACTGCTGGAAGACATGTCTCTGCATCATAAGGAATGCACAGCGAGAGACCCAGGCAGCCGTGTTTGACAGGAAGTGAACTGATTTGTAATTCTAATACGCTTCATTTGTATCACACAGAAGGCAATGTGTTTCAACCATTGAGTGTAATGGAACATGAGATAATTAGCAACAAACAAAAAACCCAGGAAGCGTACATTTAGTGAAGGCTCTATGAGGATATAGAAAACACAACACGGAGACAGATCCTTGATGAAGTTTGACTTCGAAATAAAGTGGAAATACTACTGATGACTATGAGGATAGATCCCAGTCCCCTATACATAGCACTGCTTGTAATCAGTCTAAAACTCAAAATATGTTCACTGCTTTTATGATCATCCTCCTTCATTAGATTTATTTTTGTGAATTGTATTTATGTTCTTATTTATTTAAAAAATCTATATTTAAATTGAATTAATTATATTTATTATGTAGAAGTTGTGTGAAAATAGACATACAACGTACATTGACTACACAATGTGCAGTATTGTTTATTTACACAGTGGAAAAAGATGTACAATTTTTGTATTATTTTAAATTAAACATGAGTTTGTAATCCGAAGAAAGTACATGTATAGACAATTTAAGATAACAAAATAAATATAGAAAATAGCAGAAACAATTCCTTTTAGCACCATGCCCTCTGTCTCACTCTGTCTCCCTCTGTCTGTCTCTCTCTGTCTCACTCTGTCTCTCTCTGTCTCACTCTGTCTCCCTCTGTCTCACTCTGTCTCTCTGTCTCCCTCTATCTCTCTCTGTCTCTCTCTGTATCCCTCTGTCTCCCTCTGTCTCACTCTGTCTCCCTCTGCGTCACTCTGTCTTTCTCTGTCTCACTCTGTCTCTTTCTGTCACTCTGTCTCTCTCGGTCTCACTCTGTCGCTCTCTGTCGCTCTCTGTCTCCCTCTGTCTCACTCTGTCTCTCTCTGTCTCCCTCTGTCTCACTCTGTCTCTCTCTGTCTCACTCTGTCTCTCTGTCTCTCTCTGTCTCCCTCTGTCTGTCTCTCTCTGTCTCACTCTGTCTCTTTCTGTCTCCCTCTGTCTCACTCTGTCTCCATATGTCTCTCTCTGTCTCACTCTGTCTCCCTCTGTCTCACTCTGTCTCCCTCTGTGTCTCCCTCTGTCTTACTCTGTCTCCCTCTGTCTCACTATGTCTCTCTCTGCTGTCTCCGCCTCACAGACATGGACGCAGCCCATCACCGCCACTGGCCCGGCGTGCTGAAGGTGATCGCCGGCTGCCACATCTCCCTGTTCCAGATGCCTCTGCCCGAGGACGCCGTGCAGCTGGGCGGCTCCATGAGTCTCCACGGCAACCACATGACCCTGGCCTGCTTCCACGGGCCCAACTTCCGCTCCAAGTCCTGGGCCCTGTTCCACCTGGAAGAGCCCAACATCGCCTTCTGGACGGAGGCTCAGAAGATCTGGGAGGACGGTGAGACAGAATGTTCCAGATGGAACAAAAAAATCACTACATAATCAACATTTAAAAGGAAGTAGACAGGACAAATGGCTGTAGTCGCAGCTGGATACTTTTTTTTCTTGGGTTGACCTTCTGTCTGACTGTCCTTTCATACTATTCTTTTGAACAAAATATCTGAGGAAGCCTGGAGGGCTCACAAAACAAATTTTTGGCCATGAATCATATGCTAATTTGGAGAATTTCCCAATAATGTCTAATATCCCCAAATGTAACTCGATAATAATCTGTTAGAGGTCATGCCTCTTAAAGCTCTCAGCTTCTGTTCAAGCAGTGGTGGAAAAGTTTTCAGATCCTCTACTTGAGTAAAAAATACTTATAATATACTGTAAAATAACTCTATTTAATGTAAATAAATAACTGCATTAAGAATGGAACTAAAGTACTGTAAATGTATTAAAATCTAAAATATGTAAATGAACATGTGAAATTGTCAAAAGGTGTCTCTATGCCAGACAATGATGAGAGTTGTTGCCTTTAATCACCCTTTGATCACTGACTCTGCTCCTGTCCCAGGCTCCCAAGATGATTCCACCTACATAGTGCAGACACTGGACTTCCATCTTGGTCATAACACGATGGTGACCAAGCCCTGCGGGGCCCTGGAGAGCCCCATGGCCACCATAACCAAAATAACCCGGAGGCGGCATGAAAACCCCCCACATGGAGTGGCCACGGTCAAAGAATGGTTCAACTACGTCACTGCCATGAGGAACGAAGGTAACTGGTTTCATTTATCAACGTGAATCGTTCATTTTGCATCCTGAGGTCACAGGGATGCATGTTCCAACTTTTACGATTCAAACTTCCAATGCTCTCTTTTTCCAAATGTTAAATCTGAATACCTTGTTGGCATCAGCTTGCCATGTCTAATAGTGAAAACACTATATGGAATAATGACACTGACTTTTTTGAATTATTTGTATTAACGACTCACAGAATGAAGTATTTATTTATTTATAAACAGGGAAATAGTCGACATGTACAAAGAACCAGGAAGAGCCAATGTTACATTGCAGTGGTATAACTGGGCATGTTTTTACATAAACCATCAGTAACCCTGGGTGATCTGTCTAAAATGATCAGAATAGAGCAGTGGGTCACCAACCTTTTTAAGCCCAAGGTCCCCTTCGTGAAAGGCGAGATCTACCTATTGCAGAATTGAGTGAAAAAGACAGCACAGACCGTATTTCCAATTTGAGGCCTTTTATGTCGGCTAATTGCATCTGAATTACATCAAATCATTTTGTGCAACTTCCAATTTGATTAAACCAAGAAAACAACATAACCATCCTTTCTTGAACTGTAATGCTATACAATTGGTATTTTTTTAACTATATTCAACCGGATGAAGGATTTTAGTCACGGACGTCTGGACCTTAAGTTATTAGAGCAACAAGCTGAGCTAGCTCGGTTAGCAGCGCCAAACTGCCCTGGAGAAACACATGAAACTACTTTATTCAGTGTTTTTACCTTTAATCACCGGGTCTGTTTGCTTTGGAGATTTGATTGTGATTGGTGGTTTGCTGTGCATGCAGAGCCTGCATTTTACTCACTCAAGTCCCCCTGACATGAGAGCTGCGCAAGTGTTCCTTTTGTAGCAAGCAGCAAAATAATTTTAACATGACGTGTTTTCATGATTTTTTTTTAAATTGCACGTCCACACGATGTGAATATCGCATATGAGCATATCGATTATCGTCACAACAAGATATATCGTGCAGCCCTAAGAAATATATATATTTACATCATACCTATAATTTTAAGTTTCATTCATTCCTTCATTACAATCCTAAATATAAATGAGCAGATAACATAAAGTACCATTTTAACTGTGAGGCTGAAGCTTCATGCAAGTGCAACATTTAACATCACCATTAAAACTAGTTATTTTAACACAATTCTTACAAATTCAAAATTCTAACAACATTCTTTATCCGTGCATAAACCATTGGTGCGTTCACACCGGACGCGATGCGACTTCGGGGGCGGCGCGATTACAGTCAATGCAAAGACGCGGACAGTTGATGCGAATGACGCGTTCGCGCGGTAGCCAATCAGTGGTGAGGGTCTCAGCCTGCTGTCACTGACGTTGAATCAGAAAACCAAAACAGCAGCCGTTAGCTGTTAGCACTCAGAGCTCACAGCTCCTCATATCTGTTCAGAAACTGGAGAAAAGTAAAACATGAACAAACCAAAGACTGACTGTGTCATGGCGAATACAGTCGCTGGTTTATTTATGTCTGTATGCCGTTGTTGTGGGTTTGGACAGAGCAGATACGACGTTAGTTTAGCCTGATCGATCCGATCTCCTTTCAGAAAAGACCCATTTCAAAAGTTTTTTCGCCTGCCGTCTGCACACTTGTCAAAGCATTAATTCATGGTTTTACTAACCGGTATCGGTATGTAGTCATTCCGGCATCATTGTGAAATGTGTATTACAATTAAATCACGGTAAAATATGTTAACCTTGTTGTAGTTGGTATCTACCATAAGTACAGTGAGTTCAAAAATATGCAGCATCACTTGAAGTCAGTCTATTATTTTCGGGAGCGACAACGAATGTCTCAAAGATACGTCAATCAAGTGGCACCTGCTAACGGGGTGGTGGATGATAGGCTTACATCTAAAAACGTTATTTAGCTCAAATGTTATGCTTTTTATTGGTGGACTGCTCTGCACTTAGGGAGGATATAAGACGGGAAGTGACGGGAGGTTTGCCCCTCCCGTGTCAGACTAGTATCCTGTCTCAGATTACGGTGTCGGTCGAGGTTAAGAGGCACAGTGGTCCGGATTGTTGAGTTATCGTTCCGACGAAAAGAAAAAACGGACACAGTATTACCGACCGTGGAAAAGTTAACAAAGACCTTTTGTGTAACGTGGGTGATGCACTCAATAACGACTGGGCACACACTTATTTGTTGAGGTTGAGACATAGTTGTGTGAACAACACACGTTGAAGTCAATGCGTTATGAACATACACAATTCTCTACAATCTTTCTCCCATATCTAATATCCTAGACGCTCATAAAAACACTCATAAAGAAGAAAGAGGAAAGCACATTGCAGTCTCCAGGTTTGAGCCACAACACATCGGTACTTACTGTTTACTCATAATTAGCATGTTTCGCGAGGTCAAAATTTGTTCGACTTCACACGTGGCTAAGTGACCATTCATCCGACAGTCATTACCGCTGCGGAGAGATAAACGCTGACGCATCTAGAGCCGTCTGACCCGTTGAATATTATCGACGAGACCAAGTTTTTTCCACCCGTGGGGACCGTATTTTCTATCGAAAAAACAGCTCCCTCGGGCCGAAACACTAGCGGAAATGAAGGACCAGCCGGATGTGTTTTATGAAGTAGTGACGTTTGTGAGATATGGTCACCAGTGGTTGGTCAGCTAGCCGCTAACGACTACCGGCCAATCTCGCGTGGCAATTTTTTTTTTCATTCTTTCTTATTCCATTTTTGTTTTATTA